AGAGGTTAGAAGTCATTCCCATCCTCACGAGAAAAAAGTTGTAACAGACTGAAAATCAACAACTCTTCTTACATCAAACAGAGAATTGAGTTCACAGGGTAAACCACCACTCTAAAAACTAGAGAGATGCGAGAAAACAGAGAATCACAGCTCATCTGGAACAGAAGCTGCTGAAGCCAGTAAACGGTAGGAAAAATTAAACTATAATTGATGAACTGCTGGAGGTTGAGCATGAATTCACTTTAGAGATTAAAACTCCTGGGACCCAGCTTTAGGGGAGACTACACACTTTCAGAAGTTTTACTTCCAGGAGCCCCACTAGGCTCTTGGGATGAAGACTGGACAAAAATATCTTCATACTTCTGGCAGGGGAGGGGGAAAACTAACCATTTTTAAAAAACCATTTTAAAACTAACCGTTTTGTTCTTTAAGCATGGTATGTCATTATTTAGGTCCTCTTGATTTCTTTCAACAATATTTTTTAGTTTTCAGTGTACAAGTCTTTCACTTCTTTGTTAATTCTAAACGTTTTAATCTTTTTGATGGTATTATAAATGAGACTTCTTAATTTCACTTTTGAAATATCCACTGCTATTGCATAGAAATACAACTGAATTTTGACTGAACTCAAAAGAAACTATTTTACCAATGCCAGCTTCCTCTATCCTTCCTGTCTTACCGAAGGAAGGGGAAGATGCTGAGAAGTACCTGTGAGGATAGTGGTCCAGGGACACAGGCTCACTAAAAGACTGAGTCCTAATCAAAGGATTATTAGAATGCAACCCCTCCTCTCCACACCTTTCCACTGCATCAACGGGGACCCTGCAAAAGGGATTGTAGATAGAGGAATGCAAGCCTCAGGCTCCCCTTAAGAAGGAATCTCTAGGAAACCAAAAGACAGCAGGGGAGATTTAAAAAAGAATACCAAAGAAAATTTTACTATCTCACACCACAGCTACCTAAAACAGTAAACACAGTCTAACTAGCCAGATAAACTTAAAATCTCACACTAAAGATCTATTTACTTCAGTTCATTTTATCTAATACATCTGGCCCAGTATTCAACAGAAAATTACAAAGGAGGCTAAAAGGCAAAAACAGTCGGAAAAACAGACTCAGATACAGCAGAGACTTTGGAATTATCAGATTAGGAATTTAAAATCAAAAACGATGTACCAGAATAAATGATGCCTTTGATGGGCTCATCAGTACACCAAACACAACCAAGGAAAGAATCAGTAAGCTTTAAGATAGGTCAATATAAATTCGTTGAATTTACAAAAGGAGAGAACAGAACTGAGGCCATCAGAGGTGAGAAAGAAAGAGGAGGAGGGGAAGAACCAAGAAATTGGTAAAGGGCTACAAAAAAGATTACATTGTGTAGTGTTGAACAGACTATCCTGATTTGAGCATCCCGTATTGCACACAGGTATTGATATCCAATGCTGTGCCCCACAGATACGTACAATCAATCATGTTTCAATAAAAATATATAAATAAATAAATAAAGGTCAATATAAACTTCCCAAACTAAAATGCTAAGAGAAAAAAGAGTGGGGGAGGTGAGGGCGACAATAAAACATACTCTCCAAAAACTTTAGGATAATTTCAAAGGATATAGTTGGGGGGGTGGGGGATGAATAGATTGCAACCTGAGAATTTTTTTTTACCAAGCCATGCTATATTTCCTAAAAGAGAGCCACAAAAAGACATTTCCAGACACGATGCCTGTGATGCCAGGTGTCAATCTGACTGGATTATCTACCCAGATAGCTGTAAGGGTGTTTTTGGAAGAGACTGGCATTTGAAATCAGTGGACTAAGGAAGATCTACCCTCACCCAATGTGGGTAGATACCACCCAATTGGCTGAGAGCCTGCATAGAACAAAAAGGCAGAGGAAACGTGAATTTTCTCTTTTTCTTCTGAAGCAGGGACACCCTTCTTCTGCCCTTGGACATCAGAACTTCAGGTTCTCAGGCCTTTGGCCTTGTTCTGAGAATTACACAATTAGCACAGCCTATTATTGTGGGACTTGTCAACTTCCATAATCATGTAAGCCAATTCCCCTACTAAATCCCCTCTCATATATCTATAGTCATGCACTGCGTAACTACGTTTTCATAAACACATATTACATATAGAACAATAGTCCCATAAGGTTATAATAACATATTTTTACTGTACCTTTTCTATGTTTAGATACACAAATACTTACCATTGCATTATAATTGCCTACAGTATTTAGGACAGTAACATGCTCTACCTGTAGCCTAGGAGCCATAGGCTATACCACAGAGCCTAGGTATGTAGTAGGCTATTCCATCTAGGTTTGTGTCAGTACACTCTATGATATTCACACGATGATGAAATCACCTAACAATGCATTATCCCGTTGTTATGTGATGCACAACTCATCTATCTGTGTACATGGGTACCTCAAAAAGTTCATGGAAAAAGAGAAATAAAAGGTAAAACGAATCTTTCCACAAATTTTCAAAGACCCCTTTGGTATATATCCTATTGGTATTCTCTGGAGAACCCTAATACAACGGCCTTCTCAAATCCTATGACACGCTTTATCTTATCTCTGAGACCAGACCAGAGCTGGGATTTTCAGATAGTTCTGGCATCAAAATTACTTCTGATAAAATTAGAATATTTGAGGGCAGTCATTTCAATTATGCTCATCAATGAAATCCATAGTACAGACAAAAGACAAACATTACCAGTCTCCTGTCCCCTCAATCTGTTACTGCTCTGTTTTCTCTACTTGGTTGCTCCTACCACAGGTTGAGCATCCCTAATCCAAAAATCCAAAATCTGAAATGCTCCAAAATCCAAAACTTTTTGAGCACTGATATGACACTCAAAGGTCACAAAAACAGGAAATTCTCATTGGATCATTTTAGATTTCAGATTTTTGGATTAGGGATACTGAACTGGTAAGTATAATACAAATATTCCAAACTCTGAAATCCAAAACACTTCTGGTCCCAATCATTTTGGATAAGGAATACTCAACCTGTATTTATTCCTCCCTTCCCAACCTTTCCTCTTTGAAACCATACTGCTGCTATTTAATAAACAACTTTTTTCAAATTTTTCATAAAATAATATCCATCTTTTTGCCTTATAAAAAATCTTGGTTTTCCCCTTGATAATACTACTGCCTGTGTAGCCTTCTCCCACATACCATGGACCCAAGAAAAGAGGCGAGATGGAAGTTGAAATCTAATTACTTCTCAGAACGATTTGCTCACCTACTTTCCATCCTCCTCAAACAAACAAAAAACATACAAACAAGACCTCCTTTTTAAAGCTTAGGCCTCACACACATTTTCTATTCTTTTCTTCACCTATCACTTTCTTCTTGCAACTACCAGTTCAAAAAACTCCCACTCATTTTTTGAAGACTTCAATGTTCAATTCACAGGCTCTTCCTAAACACCAAATCCTACATTAATCTGAAAAGATTTAAACATAGTTAATGAATCAAATAAGATAGCTTCAAAATCTTACTTACTCCAGTGATCTTTATTCAACTTTTACTATCCAATCCCAGGGCTATTTAATGGATCTAATCACCCTTCAAACAGATCCTCATTTAAATCTACTAACTCAATCTGACTAAAATTACCCATTCTTCTAGCTCTCTCAGTAATTTATTCTCATGTCATCTAGTCAACTTCATAAATAAATCTCTGGTCCTATTTTCTCTCAGACTAACAACTCTTCTGGCTTCTCTTTCCCTATGTAGGCTGAAACCAATAGCTGATCAACTCTTCTCCCACTGATTCCACTCCACTGCTATCCTTCTACAATACCCTTCTCTCAATGAATACCTCAACGCAGGATCTATACTATAATTTATCTTCTCCATTCCTGAGTTTTATTAGGAAAAAAATCAAAGATTCTATGCAGACTAGCAACATTATAAAATCATTATCTCCAACCTTAGCTGATGCCTCAGAATTACCTGACAATCCTTTTGTCCTTTACTGCTCCATCTCATATTCACTTCAACATAAATTCTAGTCTTCACCAAGTCACTCTCCTCAAACCCCCTAATCTACCTCCAGCACTCCTCACCTCCCACAGCAGAAAATCTTGCTTTCTTCCTCAAAACTGATCTCTCTCAACCTCTTCTTTTTTTTTTTTTTTTTTAATAAAGATGACCGGTAAGGGGATCTCAACCCTTGGCTTGGTGTTGTCAGCACCATGCTCAGCCAGTGAGCAAACCGGCCATCTCTATATGGGATCCGAACCCGCGGCCTTGGTGTTATCAGCACCGCACTCTACCAAGTGAGCCACGGGCTGGCCCTCTCTCAACCTCTTCTGTACAACATATTTGCATCCACTCTTGTCCTCTTGAGCTCAATCAATTCCTTTATCTTTCAAATCACATGAAAGAATAAAAAAGCAAACTGACTCTAAAATCACACTCCTCCATGTAATTCAGTTCTAAATAATGTCATAGAGAATGCAACGAAAAATCAAATGGTTCCTCTAATAAAGGATCTGGGGATTTGTTATGGTATTGTTTATGTCCGCCCAAAATTTATATGTTGAAATCCTATCCCCCACAGTGATGGTATTAAGAGGTGGGGCCTTTGGAATTAGTGCCAATTATAAAAAAAGACTTCAGAGAGATCCCTCACCCCTCCCACCATATGAGGACACAGCAAGAAGGCATCATCTATAAGAAACAGGCCCTCACCAGACCCAAATCTGCCAGCAACTTGATCTTGGACTTCCCAGTCTCCAGAACCGTGCAAAATAAATTTCTGCTGTAAACGGCCGTACTTCAGCCATATTTAAAGGGTTTTTTTTCTTAATAGCAGCCAGAACAGTCTAAGACAGGATTTATAAACACATCTAACCCAAAGTATTAATATTATTATAGGAGTTCAAAAATAAAAAAAAAATAGATAGGCAACAAGAAAATATTTTTCACAAGCTAACCATAAGATGACATTTAATACCTCCTTTTTCTACATACCTGCTAAATGTTTGAGAGTCGCTGGCACAGTGTCAGGAGATACCCTCAACATTCTGAGATTTGAAGAGTGATATTCCAACTCTCTGGTTGGCTCATGAGGAACAAATTGAGGCAATAAAGATGAAAAAGACTGACTATTGCCCATGTTAGACTGACCTACCTATGAAAAAAGGAAATAAATCAAGAAAATAAGATTATATAAATTTCAGACTTCATCTGCTAAAAAACAAACCTCATTTTTATAAAAATGAATAATGAGCAATTATACTAGTTACTAAAGATCATATTCCTAGCCCTCCTTAATTCATATATAGATCATATCTTGTTTAGTCAACTCTGACAACTCTACAAATCATTCTGAAGGTTTGGAAATCTCCATATACAGACTATTACAGATAGTTGGCCTACAAATGTTCAATTACTCAGAAGTTTGCTCTTTATAATAATCATTGCAGGATTCGAACTATGGTATTATTCTTGAAAAGCTAGTGGATTTTTTTTAAGGGAGAAAGGTGTGCTATGGGGAGGAAAAAGTAAGAAGAAAAGAGAGAACAGGAATATTTTCCAAAAACTCCAAAATGTTTAGAAGAAAAATAAGAGCATCAAAGAACCACAACTGTGATCAGATACCAAAAAAATATGTCCTCAAACTTCTTGAAACAAAAGTAGTAGAAAATATAAATTGATAGTCAAGTAAAAATTAGCTGATAAAGAAGAAATTCCTATTGTTTCATAAGACCCCAAGAAGTCCTTGCTAGAAAAGAAACTAGAAACCAATATTAGTGAAATTAACACATAAATATACACAACTTTTCATCAAATTCACAGTATATTCTTACATAAAAACATATACCATTTTTAGGTTTCTTTCTATCCCTAAATAGATTATTCCAGTCATGCTCTCTCAGGAAGGAAACTAAAAATGTACATAAGTGTGAATTTTCCTATACCCTTTTCTCAGTTTTTTCATTGCGTAGCAATAAACATTCTTAGGAAGTTGCAAAGTGTGAAAATAAGTATTCTACATCTACTGCCCACATAGGTTTCTCTAGACCAGTGGTTCTTGACTGGGCAAGATTTTGCACCTACCAAGGGACATTTGGCAATGTCTGAAGACATTTTTCACCATCATAACTTGGGGGAAAGGGGATGCTACTTGTATTTAGTGAGTAGGGTCAGGGATGCTGCAAAACATCCTCAAATACACAGGACAGCCCTGATGACAAAGAATTATCCAACCCAAAATGATAACAGTGCTAAGAAGCCCTGCTCTACACACAGCATGTTCTTAGTTTCCAATTACCCCACTTCTGAAGGGGACCTTCCTGAAGTATCGTTCATGTCATATATGAAATAGATACAAAGATAATTGTGAGAGGCAGTGTGAATGTTTAGTAGCAGTTTCTCCCCATAGCTTCCAAATGTAGGAAGAAAAAGCTTCTATTATAATCTTGACTTCAGTAAAATTTCATTATATCAAAGCTTCAAAATGCAGATTAGAGCAGGTAACACAAAACAAAATGTAGAATAATTAGAAGTATTTATTCAAGAGATCAGCAGATCTTCATTACTAGTTTAAACAAGAGAAGCCAGGAGGAAAAAAAGTGATTGATTTATCTCCCAATTTTTAATCAATAACAAAGAAAGAATCAAAAATGACTAAAACTAGGGCCGGCCCGGCGGCGCACTGCTACAGTGCGCCGCTTGGGAAGCGCGGCGTTGCTCCCGCCGAGGGTTCGGATCCCACATACAGACCGGTTCCCGCTCACTGGCTGAGCGAGGTGCGGGAGCAACACT